ATTTTTTCTAGTTGACAATAATAATAAATAATAACAATATATAGATTTTACTAAAATATCCAAAATTGGAAGCTAAGCAAGTAAACTTCAAGAAATAATAAAGAAGCTTTATTAAGAAGGGAAAAAAAAGCACATTTTCAATACATGTGTTTGATGTAAAATAAAGTTTAATATTAATAAAAATGGACCATAGTTCTATAGATAATTAATAATTGCAAAATGGTAAAAAGATGCCTTAAATGGAACTCATTCTCCTTTCTAGACTAAAAAATCATTATTTATAAGGTCCACATCAAAAATATATTTAAGTTACTTTATTTTCACTTTGTCCCCTTTAAGTAGGTATATGTATATATCATTGAGAAAAATCATGCGCGGATTTAATTCAAAGCGAATAATATTTATTTTATCATATTAAGAATATTTTGTGATATTTTAGCACTATAATTACTATCAGAGCGGATAATTCAACGAGATAAATATGAAAATGTCGCAATAACAATAAATCCCTATATAGTATCGCTATTTATTTACATGTCGATTTAATACTGTAACTTTGAAAAAACATACACTAATAAAGAGAAGATAATGAGTTTTGGTGATCATAAATACTCGGATGATGTGGGTGACACACAATAAATCTGTAGATAACCAATACGCTTACATATTAATCACAAAATGTATTATTATTGTTATTATATTTTTATTTTATTTAATTTCAATATTTCCATATGAAAGCACCTAGGTTTTGCTTTCTTTTTCATCTTGTTTGACTAAATTACAATTTTAGTAAACATCACATTAATTATGACTAGTTTAATTTAGTTTGTCAAATGTATCAAGGAAACTAGTTATATAGTTGGTAAAATAGGGAGCAAGATAACAATATATCAAACTCAGTAATTGCTTTAGTTATCTCGATTAATTTAAATTCACGTCACATAAAATATATATATATAAGTGATAGCGCCCTATCATAATTTTTTATTTTTTTTTCAAGTAATTTGTCACCATTCTTATTTCTTTTTGAAAGAAACATGTACATCCATACAAGAAAATATACTGATTTCTTTGTATTAATTTATTTGTCTAATTTTGTTTTGATACAAAATTTATAAGTAAAAAAGATTTTTGAATTTTATGACTTTAATTAAATTAAAATATGTAAAGTGTACAATTTCTTTTTAATCTTATGCTTTGAATATGTTAGATGGAAAATTGAAATTAAACAGTCATAAAAAAATAGTCTTTCTAAAAACGAACTAAAAATAAGAAAAATAAGTAAATTAAACTGAAGAAAATAAAATACGAGTTAAACATAGAAACTCATATATATATATATATATATATATATATATATATGAGAAATCATACCTAACAACTTACATCACCTATCACCATCCCCCCACCCCCCAAGAGTTAGTGGTACGATAGCACAACTTTAACTAGAGATTGCGAATTGAAATACCGATAATAAATAAAATCGCTATAAGAAATACTTTTTAATAGATTTTATGCGGTAAAAATTTAATAGAGAAAATTTTTACACGACACAAATTCAAATTAATCTGAAATCTAAATAGAAAGTCAATATCGAGTGTGAAAAAGAGAACATAACCACATACAAAATACACCAAGTTAGAAAGGAAATGTTTTAACAAAAAAAAAGTGACTCGAATTTGAATTAATCGAACTTCAGAGTACATAATGAAAACAACATTTAGGTTCGTGCTGAAAATGGAAAAAAAAAATCCAATAAAAATATTTTTTTTCAATAAATATTATGTTTCGAATTAGTCAGAATTCAAAATGAGTATATGCGAAAAATAAATTGCTTTTCTTGCAAATTTAAGTGGTTCAAATATAATAATTTTTAAAAAAAATATATTTAAAAAAATATTTTTTTTAACTTTTATTGGAGAATGACGTGATCCACGTGTCAACAATTGAAAGCTTGTTGGAATGCATGAGATGTCTACAAGTGGAATCCACACAACCACTAAGAGTAGTGACTTTCTACGTTCTTAATTAAAAATCTCGAAAATTAAGTGATTTTGAATTGAAAATATATTTTCGTAGGAAGTACATATGATCGATTCTACTTTAGTAATCTATGTAACGCAAAACTGAATTAAATCGAAGCCAAAATAGATATCAGATATCATGTATAAATCGAAAAAAAGGTATAAAATATCGAGAACCTAGCCCAATTAATTTGCATTCACAAGGCTCTAGCAAGAAAATTCTAATTTTCAAGGCTCTAAAACCTGAAAGTCCGAAATTTTTCATTAAGAATAAAATAATCGTTCCAACAAACATATTGCTAGAAACATATGCAATCATTCTATTACGAGTTCAATAGAATCAAACTTATTATACTTTTTAAAATTATGGATTTAGACTAATAAAAGAAAGATTCTCAATCAATGAATCGCAACTATTACAGATGCAATAACTTTTATGTTGCGGATTCAATCAAACCTAACATTTTCGACATGTATATTGTAATCTCAAGAAATATTTATCTGGACTCATAATTTTAAAATTATGATAAATTTAGGGTTGAAATTTTTTTAAAATTGAACTCGTTAAATTTAAATCCGGTGACGAAGTGGCACACAAAAGAAAAAGGAAAAGGTGTTTTATGTGATAAATATTTGCTCTTAGATTTGCAATTCCACATCAGATTTAGCTGACTTTTTATTAAATTTTCTTATATATATAAATAATACCCACCGTTGGATTTTGTCTGGGTATGTGTTAATAACTTTTTTAAAAAATAACTAATACACCTTTTAAAAGGTACAAGAAAAAGAATTATTGAAAATTTAAAGAACTTTAAAACTTTTTATTTATTTATTTATTTCTAAGAACTTTGAAACTTGCTTGATAACATCACCGATGATCTCATTACCAATTGTAATGGATTCTTTTAATACTTATTTTCACCCGACATTTTAAATCTATAGTAAAACTCGATTAGATTCAAATTTGCATATTACATGACTCGTTTTTATAAGCGGCCTTCTCGGTAGGTCAGTCTCAAAAATTTTCGAAGTAATTAATAACCCTGATTAATTTAGAACTGATAAATCTCAATCATCTCACCACAATAATATCGATAATTATAATGGCTTCATTATGGATCTTAGCTCATAAGCTTCATATAGATATGGAGGACCTTTTGTTGGATAGCAATACTTTTATCCCTAAATTAATTGTAAATTTACTTTTGGATCATTATTGTAATATATAACAAAATATATTTAATTTTTAATTAATTAAATGATTGGTCCCTTAATGTAGAAATTTATATTATATTTGATTATTCATGGTATTATAATACGACGCGTTTTAATTTTTTAATAAAGGATATTCGACTGACTATCTCTCACTGCTACGTGATAGATCATGCCTAAGGATCCATATATTTAATTGTGAATCTAAGACAATAATAAAAATACTTGAGTTTAAAATTTTCATTTATGTTTCTAGATTTTTTATTTCGAATATCATATATCTAATTCAGTAAGTAAAATTATTTTAAATATATGCAACAAATTGTTTTATTCTATTCAACATAATCTTTTTAGTAAAAGATTAAATCGAATTTAATTATGATTCAATTAAGAGAACGAAAGATAATTATTTGATATATTCCTTTTTATTCTTTTTTATTTTTTGCTAATTTATTTAGTATTTTCTAATTTATGAGCAAAATAAAATTGAAACTCTTTTTATACCTCATAAGCAATAGCTAATGTAAGCTTCTTGAACAATTTTATTACTTTCCGAGCCGTTCGATACGAGTGTAATACCTTAGCTTAGGATAAAAAAGCAAAAAGAAAGAGATATTGGGTAAATAAATATGCATGTTTTACATAATAATGATACATTCTAAAGTCGTATGAGTCTAAGGCCCGTAGTAGACAATCTCAATAGCGTGTTGGATTGAGCCGTTAAATGGTATCAGGATCATTTCTATATCTACCTTGTCGAAAGTGGGCCATAGTTCAACTAAATTAAAGCGAATTTAAAAAAAAGGTGAATAACCTCAGTGCTGAGTCTAAGCAAATCATGTGGCGGGATAAGTATCAGCGAGGATGTTGAGTACGTAATAGGAGAAGAGGTGTATGTGACACCCTAACTTAGGATAACATCGACAAAACACATAAAATGATGTTGGATGTATAGGCAAATTGTACACCCTAGTAATGCATTTTAAAATCGTACAAATCTAAATTTAAATTAAAATGAATAATATTACTAGCGGAGTGGATCGCGATGTTAGCTTTTGTATAAATGCTAAAAGTTTCAATTTTCATTTATTTTTCTTGTGTTGTTTTGCTTTAAGTAATGCATTTCCTTTTGGACTTGGTGAAAAAGTTGAATGGATCAAGTCAAAAATGTGTGTTTGTAACACTAAGTTTTTTGTTTTATTTAGCTTATTATAAAGTATTATAAAGTATAAAAAACGACTAAATGTTACTTAAATATGAAAGTGGATTTCAATTTCATTAATTTTTTAATAATCTTTTCTTACTTTTTTTTTCCTTTCTTAAATAGTTTGGTGTTAAATTATGGATGGAGTTACTTAGATTAACCTAAGATATTAGCTTTCCTATTATATATTTCAAAAAATAATAATTGAAATTTGAGTTTAATTCAAACTTGAAAAATTATCTAGGGATGTGAAAACCCGATATATCTGACTCTTCGAAATATTAGTTCTTCAATTTAATCCACCCTCATCAGCTCGTCCTCGTCAAAAACATCAAAGAGCACTAGCAAAAGTTAAAAGTTTCATAATGAGTTCATATATATATAGTCAAAATTGTCGAGCCTTTTTTATAATAACGTTGTTTGTTCGAAATTAAATAACTTGTTCTAATAAAATATTATTATTTATAGAATATAATTTTAAGATGAAAATCAATTCCAAAGAACTTATCTTTATTCTTGACTTAAAAGGAAAGAAGCTATAAGAGGTACATCTATAGTACAATTGTAAATTATAATTAAAAACATATCTTGTAATTAAATCAAAAAGTTTGAAAAGTGTAATTGAAATAATTAGCAACCTACTATACAAAAGGAGATGATAGTCATAGTACTTTTTTGGTTTATTCCATTTAATATCTAGACCTATTTTGGATCGATTAATTCAGATTCATACTGTATAAGTATAAGACCTGAATCAAAACTATTAAACTTCTTCGTAGCTTAAAAGTAGGTCTACTCCTTTTTCAAAACTCGAACATACAACCGAATTATTTTTTTAATTCATTTCGTCACAACCTTCGATAGAAACATATATTACTCCATTACCTTCTAAAATAGGTGATGAATCAAAACTTAGAAACAATACCTTTTAAAGCATTATTTGGTAGATTCAAAAAGTTAAAAAGGACTTACCAATAATGGCTATCTTTCCAAGTGTCAACTCTTGAGAAGATTTACACAATGCCAAGTGTATCTATTTAAGCAAGAATTTTGCTGCATATTGACAATGATGGTCCATGTATAGCTACTTCATCTTGATACATTTGACACAAAGGAAAATGGGAAATAATTAAAAGAAGTACTATGTGATAAAGAAAGTTAACAAGTTATCATATAAAAAAGGGAAAAAGGAAAAATATTCTCCTGAACTATTATAAACGGTATGCAGATACCTTTCGTCATACTTTTGAGACATTGATGCTCCTGTCGTTCAAAGACTAGAGCATATATACCCTTTATACTATAACTGACATACACGTGTCATAATCTTATCCATCGACCGACATCGGATCGATGGATAAAATTGTATCACGTATCCCCATTTAGTCTTTCGTTAGAGTGAAGGGCATATACGCTCTAGTTTTGGACAACAGGGGCACCAATCTCCCAAAAGTATGACGGAAGGTATCTTCATACCATTTACGATAGTTCAGGATATATTGTCATTTTTTCCTATAAAAAAGGGGATGATAAGCATATAACTTTTTCTTATTATTAGTTTCGGTATTCGTCTTGGAGTTCAGATTAATCAGCAACATAAAACTTGTTAACGAGAAAGGGCTTTGAATCAAAGTTTTTTTTCTTCATTTTTATAACTCGAATTTGAGGTCTCTAATTAAAAATATACAGATTTATTCATTCTACCACAATACTTGATCGATCTGAATTCATATTATGCACGATCCATTACACATAATACTTTTTTGATTTCTCGTTTGACTTACAATATTCATTGAAAATACTCCAAATTTTTAATTAAGATTTATGAGTGAAATAATCTTTGCTTATTCCACCACAATCACAATGATATAGTACTCAAATTACCTTCCCAAAGAGGTTATGAATCATAACCTAGAAACAATTCTAGGCATTATTTGGTAGATTGTTAAAAAGTGAAAGGACTTATCAATAGTGGCTCTTTCTCCAAGAGTAAATTCTTGAGATTTACACAATGTCAAGTCCATCTATTAAGTAAGATCTTAAAATACATAATTGATATCTATTGATAATGATGTTACTCTTTATAATTACTTTCATATTTGCTACATTTGGCACAAGGAAAGTGGAAGAGAATAAGACTATATCAAACATTTGAAAGGCAATTATTTATTCCCTATTTCTTCTTTTAACTTTCATAAATTCACTTTTCTATTTATTTCCTTTGTTTTTAACCTTTTCCTTTCTTAAAAAAAAATAAAACTTTCAACCTTATTTTAAGAAAGGCTTATGCAAAATATAGTGCAAGATAAGTAAAGGTGTCTCGCCCTTGGGGTGCAACCCTTTCTCGAGGGATAAGTAAATCTAGAATGTTTTGTACATCTGATTAGTTATTTAACTTTTTTCGTTCTTAATCATATATTTCAAGTTTGAGTATTGAAAATAGAGTCAATGGGATGGTAAGCACCCCTTAATCTCATTTCGAGGCCTAGGAACATAATTAATAGAACGGTAAGCACACCCTTCATCTGAATCACATATGTCAGGTTTAAATCGTGAAAGGAGTCATATTAAGTAAGAAACGTTTTATACTCCCAGAGTGATACTTCTAGTTACGAATCTAAAGTAGCCAAAGTTTATAGAAGGTAATGGACAGCAAATCAAGAAACTATTAACTCTTTGAATGGTTATTTCATCAATTAATAACATATGTTAAACACCAATTAGAATCTTTTAACCCTAAAATAATCACAAGAATCCTTCAATAACTAGAGGACCTACAATGAAGTGGAATCTTTTTATTTAAGCAAGTGAAAGTAGTCCATCCAATTTTTTGTTCTATTTTAAAAGACTATAAAATCTTTAACACTAGATATTCCATTCTAAATTAATGTTCAAGAAGAACTCAAAATCATTTAATTATTCAAAATTTAAAATGTTATATTTCTTTGTCAATACTTTCAATTATTATCTAATACTATAGTTTCTTCAATGTACTATCTATCAATCAAGTACACATTAAATTTATATCCTAAGTTTTATGTACTAACCAAAACAGTACTACATAAAATGAAGTGGAGGAAGCCTTAGACATCACCAAATCTTTCATAGTTACCGACTAAGGATCGTGGTGGAGTGATAAATACTTTTTCATACTTAACTAAAGGTCTCGAGTTTGAGTCCTCCTGGATACGGAGTCACCTTTGTTAGGGAGCGTTTTACGCCCTAATGTGGAACTTTCCAGAGCGAATCCACTAATGTGGGTACGGACACCGGGTGAAAACCAAAAAAAAATCCTTCATAGTTGACTGATTGCAATATGATCTACTGAAAATTTATTCACTAATATAGCTGAAATATATAAAATAATACTTTGATTATGTATATTATACTTAAAATATACAAAACCTATACATTTGCTGGTTATTTTGTAAACTAAATCACCCAAAAGGACTATAATTATCCCAATGACAAGTAAACAATTTTGTATCACTTGGTGAGTCATGAATTGAACATATAAAAAAATGGACTTAGGATGAAAATGTATAGAATATGAAGATTGGGCCTAGCCTTGATAAGCCTTTAAATCACTCTTACATTTTTAAAGAGGGGCAAAAACTACCATTAGTAATAATCTCGTAGTTTCTTGTCTTTCGATTTTCGTTAATATCTATTGTTCTATACTTGAGTTATCGCGTTGTTTTGAGATGTTGTTAGTGTGCCTTTTCTTGATTGCTATGTTATGATTTTGTTATTATTTGTTATGTCAGCTTTGTGTGTCTATGTTATTTTTAACATTGCTTTGTTATGAGTTACTTTGAGCTGAGGGTATTTCTGAAACAACGCCACTCTACCTCTACACTAGGAGTAAAGTTTGCAAACACCGTAGCCTCTTCCATACCCCATACCTCACCTAACCTAGTGGGATTACAATTTTTTTTTGGGGGGTTTCCCCGGAGTGTCCAGTACCCACATTGTAGCCCAACTAAATTCAGATTTGCGCAGGAAAGTCCCACATTAGGGAGAAAAGCGCTCCTTAACAAAGGCAACTCCGCACACAGGGAGACTTTGTTCCACCACAACCCTTGTTGGTGCAACTACTACTTCTATAGTCCTCGTTTTTCATGCGGCTTTCCTCTTAAATAAGGCTAAAAGTATGAAGTTGTTTGGCTAAGCTTATAAGCTGGTCGAACTAGTTTATCCGGAGTTTCTGAATTAAGATATAAGCAACCAAACGGGAAACGGCTCAATCCAGTACTACTTTTAGCTAATCAATTGATCACTAATAGCTCAATGGATATCTCAATTGCCACATCTTACAATACTATAACTATGCTGCCACAAAAGCACAAATTATTTGACTCTCTTCACAAGTTCATAATTAAATGATCAAGAAGACTTACAGTGTCATCGCTCGTATTCTTGCTTTTCATTGAGAACCTGTTTGGAAGGACGACACCAGGAAATTGGATTTGAGCACAATTGTGTGTAACCATTGAGTCTACATGCAACCACCACCTCGTGTCTTGGTGCGAAGGATGCATTCCCTTCTGGCAAATGAAATTTAGGATTCCCAATAATCTGTCGAGTAATCAGAATTTGAGGTAGTTGTCTTCACACACAAGGGTATATTTGTTTGTGGGGCTTCACAAACACGGTTTGCACGTTCTCAGTCACGATGATCATGCATGTAGTGATTATCCACAAAACTGCAAGCAACAGGTATGAATTGACACATATATCCCAAACTGCACAAGGACACACATCCCTAACATATTAGCAACACAGCACACAATAAATACTCTCCCGATCGATCATATTCGGCAAGATTCCATCTGGTGTATCACACCTTATGCTTGCATATCTTCCATCCAGAGCAAAAACCTTGTAGCAAGAGGTCATATTGTTCCACAGTTTCAGTTTTGTACCTGGTCTGATTGGATAAAACTCCACTGCCAAATCAAAGAAGAAACCTGCCAAATAAAAAGAGAATTTGACTACTTGAAGTATGTCCAGTCATATATATGCATGTACAGAGTCATACATAATGGTATCTAGAGTATATTCTAGTCAATAGAACTCTGAGATATAGGCGAAGGCACTTGAAAGAAATTAGCTCGCCAAAACTGTAGCATCAGGAAGTTAATCTTAGAATGACATTGCAGGCTGTTGTTTGCATAACTGTATTAGACGTACTTCCATTAGCTTCATTGCTAAGAAGTTAGAGAGAGAGCCTTGAAAGTGATATAACACATGAACAATACAAACAAAAGAAGGGTATACCACTTGTTAGAGTCTTAGAGATATATATAGCTATTTTAATTTTGATTTTGTTTAGTATGATAATGTTATGAAATGAGCTTAAATGTAAAAGTGAGGATTCATATAGCCGATACATCAGAGAACAAATATATAGCTAGGGTTACAAGCCTATACTGAAGCACATACTGAGTTACCGGCAATTATCCTTGAGTTTAATTTATCGAAAAGTGAAAACTGTGATTCATGAAAATTACGATTACATCAAGTCACCCAGCTTAAGTTCCTCACCTTTCGACAGCAATAGAACTTTTATATAAAGACTTACTTCTAATTGTCATTTTGGGCATCTACGACCGCCTAGCTCAGTGTGTTCTTGATAATAGCATATCTGAAACATGAATAAGAGAACGGGTAAACTTCTGGAAGAATGATAAGAGATGCTGCTGCTAGTGCTATCGGTCACTATTGATGTTACTCAACACGGAAAAGTAAGAGAAATAGAGAAAAACTTTGCGATAGAAAAAACTTAAGAAGATTCAATGCAAAGATTCTTCACATACCACGGCAAAAATGACATAGAGATTTTACTCATTTGAGAAGGTAGTATCCTCATGAACATATCCGATCCCTTTCATATTCCGAATCAGAAGTTCCAAAAATGAATATATCAAATCAGTTTGGTGATGACTTCGGTCTCTTGCAATAAACAAATGAACCTCATTGTTTATTTCTATCCAACTACACCCTTTTTCTTTCACTACGCCACTGCTATCCATTTTCTCTCTTAACTTTTTGACATTGATCCACATGTCTTTAGATGCAAAAATATTTGAAAGTAGGATATATGATCCACTGTCTTTTGGATCTATTGATATCGCCATTGATGCTGCATATTTACCCAGGTCTATATGACCAGCTTCTCTACACGCGCTAAGCAAACTCCTCCAGACAATGGCGGCCGGTGGAATTGGCATTGTTTCAATGAGTTCCGTTGCTTCGACCAGTTTACCAGCTCGACCCAAGAGAGACACCATGCAAACATAATGCTCCATTTCTGGTTCAATACCGTACCCGGCCATGGAATAGAAGTGACGAAATCCTTCTTTTACAAGACCAACATGGCTACATGCTGAAAGTACTCCAACAAAGGTGACATTGTTGGGTTTCAATCCATCTTTTATCATTTTCTCAAACATATTAAGAGCTTCCTTTGCTTCTCCGTGCTGTGCATAAGTGGATATCATAGAATTCCAACACGCGACATCTCTCTGGATAGTGGAATTAAACATCTTACGTGCTTCTTCCAAGCTACCACACTTAGAGTACATATCGACGAGTGCATTTGTAACATGCAGATCAAAATCTAGGCCGAGTTTTACAATCTGGTTATGAAACTGGAGACCATGAAGCAGACTTACTAGGTTACTAGATGCAGCAATGAGGGCAACAAAAGTCAACGTGTTTGGCTTTTGCAAAGACTGCCGCAATAGTAGGAAGAGCTTTAGAGCCTCTTCATTTTCACACTGTTGTATGTACCCAAACAACATAGAATTCCATACAACAATATCCTTTTCATTCATTTCATTGAATACTTGCCTCGCATATCCAATAGACAAACATTTCGAGTAAACATCTACTAGGATGCTACAAACAAACATGTCAGCAGAAAAACCAAATTTTATGGTAAGACCGTGAAGTTGCTTACTTAACTCCAAGGAGAAAAGCGAAGCTGATGCACCGAGCAAGCTAACAAAAGTCAAAAGGCTTGGAGGAATCAGATTCTCTCTCATTTCAGCAAATAGATCAAAAGCTTCATATAGCCTATTCTGCGTTAAACAACCCTCAATTACAGCATTGTAAGAGATTACGTCATGATCACCCATAATGTCAAAAACCTTCCTTGCGTCACCAAATGAATTACATTTCGCGTACATATCAATCAAGCTATTCTTCACATATTCATCAGAATCAACATTAGCTTTCACGGTATAAGCATGCACTTGTCTTCCCAGCTCTAAAGCTTCAACTGACCCACAAGAAATAAGTACACTACTACAAGCAAATCTATCTAGAATCCAACCCAAACCGTTCAAGTCTCTAAACATGCTTATGGCTTCCCAGTCAGAAGAATTCTGCATGTATCCAGAGATCATCGTTGTCCAAGAAATAGCGTTTTTAACTTCCATTCTATCAAAAACTGACCTTGCAGTCTTTACATTACCACACTTCATATAGAAATCAATAAGCACATTACTCACCGTAACATCCATCTCCGCTCCCCGTCTAAGCACATAACCATGAATTTCCTTTCCTCCTTTAATATACTCAAGCGACGAGCAAGCACCCAAGATACTCGAAACCACATAATTATCAGGTGCAACATCAGTCTCCAACATATTCCTCAATAGCTGCAATGAAATTTCACTCTTCCCCACATTCACACACGCTGCAATAATCGCAGTCCAAGTAGCCGTACTCTTCACCACCAAATCATCAAAAACTCGCCTCGCTGACCCTACATCTCTACCCTTCGAGTAAAAATCAATCAAAGACGTCCCTACATACACAAACTGATCAAAACCAGCTTTCACCACAAAACAATGCAATTCCTCACCTTTCACAATACTACCTAACCTTCCACAACAACTAACAACACTAGCCAAAACAAACTCATTTGGCCCTCCCCCTCTTTACAACTTCTCCTCAACTCAGCAAAAAGCGACAGTGATTCATCATAAACCCCATTTTGGGTATACATAGTAATAACAGAAGACCAAGAAATCATATCCCTTTTAGGCATTTTATCAAACACTTTGCGTGCATAATCCAAACACCCCCGAATCGAATACGATTGAATCAAGATGTTGTTAAGAAAAGGGTTGTTTTCAAATCCACAAAGAATCACTTGGGTGTGGATTTCTTTACAATGGGTTGTAGATAATGTGAATAATAATTTGCTTAAATAATGGCGTTGGGTTCGTCTATTACGACGAATAATAGTATAGTTTTCTTCTTCGGAGCGATGATGTAAAGATGATGAAACTGTTAAGAATCTGAAACAAGATTGAGTTACACCATTTTTGAGGGATTTTGGTTCAAATTTGCAGCCAAGTTTGCAGAGTTTACTCATTTGTTTGAGCTGAAAATTCAAAGTTGATGCATATTTATATGGAGTTATTGTTTAAAGCAGCGTTTGACTTGACGTACAAAACATTTCGTATTAGCAGTTTAGTGAAATATTAAAAAGATAAACTTTAAAAGGACATTTATCTAAAGTTATACAACTTCACATGTGTTCGTAGTTGATTTTGAAACGGTTAAATTAGGTTCGAAATGTTGATGAAGCGTTATATATAATTAACTTAAAAAGGATATTATTTGAAGTTCGAACTTATGCTAATTTGAAGTTAGGTTTTCGCAACCATAAGTTCAAACATGTATTGATGGAAACTCTTTGGAACTTTATAGTCGAGTTTGAAGTTGATTTTGAAACGGTTAAATTAGGTTCGACAAATGTTAGTCAAGTGTTATAATTTAACTTTAAAAAGATATGTATCTAAAGTTCGAACTTATGCGAATTTGAAGTCGGGCTTTGGCAAGCTTAACTTCAAACTTGTGTTGCTTAAAATTTTTTGGAACTTTAAAGTCGAATCTGAAGTTGATTTTGAAACAGTTAAACTAGATTTGGAAATATTAATCAAGGGTTATTGTTAGCTTAAAAAGATATTTATTTGAAGTTTGAAGTTAGACTTTTCCGATAAATTGAGAATCCCAATATTTGTAAGTAAATAATATGAATTGGAACTGAAAACTATTTTTCGATAAACGAAAAAAAAACTATAATTTAATCTCTATAAAAAGATAACTTAAACAAATTATTTATCCTTATACATTAGTTTTGAACAGAAAAATAGAAAAGAAGAAAAAGTACAATTAAGAAAACAAGTTGTGACTTCGAGACAAAATTTTGATTCGATTGAAGATGAGATACTGAATATCAAAGATGTAACGAATTGAAATTTTTATTTGATCTTCGAAAATTGGATATCACGGCATGTTTTTGATAATGCAGAAAGTGGAAATACCAATGGAGGAGAAGACTATAATTGCGGGATCTTCAAAAAATTGAAAAACAGAGAATGTAGTTATGAATTCTGATATTGTTTCCAAAAATTTTAGAAACAGTACTCAAAAGAAATGGTTAAGTTTATTGTTAGGAGTGACGAGTCGAAAATTTATGATTAAATTTAGAATAGTATTACAATGGTGATACTCGAATATTCATTTTTGTTATATTATTTTTACAATATAGTTTTTTGGAAGGAAAATTCTACGTTATTTGATTGCTTACTTATTTATTCGCTTTACATAAGTGTATTTTTTTTCGTACCCAAAATAGCAATGTGAAAATAAAAGTCGTTGTCGAACAAAACTTTGCGATGTCAAGGAGACATATGAATATAATACTATAAGGTTTTATTTAAATTATTATATATAACAATCATAATTCATATCGACTCTTTCTTAAAATCCTAAGAGACCACAAAACATAAACTAGGTTAATGAGATGTTAGTCATGTGTTTGAAAATATTACCTTATATATCGTTATTATAATAACTTAATGTGATAATACAAAAAATTTGAGTAATTTAATTTAAAGTTCTAAAATATTGTTCATAAAAAATAAATATTATTTAAGATTAAAATTTTGAACATTTTTAGTATAATCTTCAATATTGTTCTATGTGAGATTAAAATTATGAGATTCAACAATAATATTTTGGCACCTAAAACAAATATTTTATTAGTTTCACTATCATCTTGAACCATAAATGCCATCAAAAGTCAAAATTTTAAAAAGCAAACAACAATTAATTTAATATACTTAATTATCAAAATGTTGGATAAATCCTAGAATTAAAAATTAAAAATCAATTTTTGAATAACTAATTGTTCAATGTCAAGGCAAACAAATAAGGAAAAAATTGAAAAGGAGGAGAAAAGAGTACACACCGGACACCAAATTACATGAAGATAATTAATTATAATATGTATCATTGTTTTAAACCAAAATAACTTTACATATGCCCGAAATCCCAGAGACACACTTATACTATACTAAGATCCTATTATCGCTGAACTTATTTTATATGTAATTTTTTACCCCTTATTAGCCTGCGTGGCACTAGTTCGGAAAAAAAAGTCAACCATCATTGGACCCACAAGATAGTGCCACGTAAGCTAAAAAGGGGTAAAAGAATTATTAATAAAATAAGTTCAGGGGTAATAGGACTTTAGTATACTATAAGTGTGTCTCTGAGATTTCGGGCATAGGTTGAGGGGGTACTTGGGCATTATCCCTTATTCTAAAACGCGCTAAGATGTATTTGCATGATTCATCTATGCGGATAATGCTCCCAATAACTTGTTTAAAATAACTTTATCATTATTCTAAAACACTCTAAGATGTATTTGCATGATTCATCTCTGCGGATAATGCTCCTAATAACTTTTTTATTATTTTAAGAGGTTCGAATTGAAAGATCTAGTAAATTTAAATATTCTATCACAATTTTAATTGGTAATAATTACTCCATAATTAGTTAAATGGCGTAACAATTCAACCATTAGAGTAGTTAAATTGAAAGTTTGAATTTTTTAACAATTTATTGCATGATTGATGTTGACATCAAAACCAAGTCTTCAAACTATTTTTAACTCAATATTTTGTTGTCAATAGAATTTAGTTTTTCTTAAAAAGTTCTATACATTAAAAGTCTTATTGTAAACAAAATAAAATGTGTAACAGCTTTCACATTTTCACGTTGTAAATTACATATTTCATTTAAAAACTTAAGCAATTATAGAAAATATGTTTTTATTTACTTTTAATTATATATATATTTGCGGACATAGTTATGTCTTTTTAGATGAATCTCATGAACCAAGTAAAATCGCTTGTATGATTACGTATTTCATTTAAAAACTTAAGCTATTATAAAAAAATATATTTTTATTTAATTTTAATTACATATATATTTGCGGACTTAGTTATGTCTTTCTAAATGAATCTCGTGAACTAAGTAAAAACCAATTGTATTATAACTGAGATATCAAAGATATCATATTCGAGTTCTACATGTTGAGTCACCGAACTCTATTTTAAATATATCAATCCATTTCGAGCTCTTGAAATTAGAATAAACTCAACAGGAGATCGCGAAATCTTGGTGATCTTCTCTATGTAATGAATAAGAAGTCCTCTTTAAAATCATTCGCTTGTAAGTCGTAACTCAACTAACAAAGTACATTAATTACATAGTTCAAAATTAACGACTTACGTATTTAGTGTCTTTGGCACCGAACATTTCCAAAAAGGGGACTATCTGGTAAACTTAATATAGCCTCGAGAATTCAAATTAGTCAAACCTAAAGTTAGGGGCGAAAATAAAAGAGAAAAAGAATAATAGAATTTAATTTATTCATAAAAAATAGGTGATATATGAGTGGAAAAAGTTGAATAGACGTTACTCACATGAATCAAAACGTTGAAAAAAATGATGGCCTAACCGTTGACATCTTAAACCTAACACCCCTAACATGAAATGAACTACTTGTTAGAAAGCAATATATAAATCTCCGATATCCTTAATCAGAAATCTCGAGATACGACTTCTGAAAATAAAGTCGTCTGATTGGAAGGTTACCTACAGGTTCAATCGAACTCATATGTTTAAGTCGAAATTCTAAATTTATATTAAGAAATTCATTGAATATGTACGAAAAAATAAATTCATAATTCAATTTTTAATATTTGATGACGCTATTCTATAATTCAGTAACCCCTTATATTTGAATTCCGCCTCCACCTCTGGTGATAGGAATCACTTCAAGCTACAACTAGTGAAGGATGATTAGTTTGACATTTGAAAAAAATCTTATTTTTTACGTACGATAAATACAACTTTTTGTCTATGAATATTAAATCTCGAACATTTTTAGCTCAAAATTTCTAACTTAATTACTACAAACCTTAAACAGCTAGTGGTTACACCTTTCTGACGTAAACTCAAATTATTTAAATGTCAAAATAAGTATTGAATATCGAGAACTATAACTTTTTGAAAAAGAAAAACACTGTATATATTCACAAGAAACCTCTTCAAATACATTACTTTTTTGCTTTATATATATATGTGTGTGTGTGTGTTTTCATCATTGATATAATTTTTAAAAGCTTATTATAGGTTGAAGTCCAAATATACCCTCCCCAATCAAACTTCCCTTTTATTATCACAAAAAAAAATATGTAAATAGTTGACTTTCAAACTTTTTAAAATCATTTCTTTTTGTTCTAATAACATCATGGCCAAAACCAAAACCAAAACAACAAACATAACAACACCCTCAAGAACATCATGAATGCCACAGCCTCCGCCCCGGATCCGAATTCCTCCGATGACGGGTTCTTGGGGTCACAAAACTTTGGTGGATTCGCGTATGGTATTGGAGTCTCTGCAGGGATATTGTTATTGATAACAACGATAACCCTAATGTCCTATTTTTGTACGAGGCATCAAACAACGGTGGAGCCACCACAAAGGAGACATAGGAATAATAATAATAACAACAACGAGGTGGTTGTGGTCGTGGATGTGGATGTGGACGTAGGGGTTGATGAGGAAACCCTATCGAGTTTTCCAAAGTTGTTGTATTCGGATGCTTATAAGAATATTCAAAAGGATTCAACCGCGAGTTCTTGTTGTTCAATATGTTTAGGTGATTACAAGAGTAGTGACATGTTAAGACAATTGCCTGATTGTGGCCATTTGTTTCATTTGAAATGTGTTGATCCATGGTTAAGGTTACATCCAACTTGTCCTATTTGTAGAACTTCTCCATTGCCATCACCACTATCTACTCCTCTAGTTGAAGTTGTTCCATTGGCAACTAGACCTATTGGATAAATTGGTATTCTTAGGGTTCACAATCCGCTTCTGGGCTCGATTAATCTGAATTTGAGGTAAAAATGCGTTTACTAACCACTTTTTGACCTTGTTTTCGAAAAATAGTCAATGTCATGGGGTTTCAAGTTCACATGTGAAACTTTAGGAAAATTTTGACTATTTCAAGGTCTTGTATTCACTTTTGGGCTCGATTAGTCTGGATTTGAGGTGAAATAGCATTTGCATGTCGCTATTCGGCCTTGCTTTTGAAAAATAGTTAGTGTCACGTGGTTTCAAGTTCACGAGTGAAACTTTAGGAAATTATTATCGAGTTTC